AATAAATGGAATACTTTATAAATGGTCCAAAATTGAGCAAGGATTAAGAAAAAGATTTAACACTCCCTAGGGTTTTCATGTATTTATAGATACCCAAGGAATCCTTTAATGTTAGAAGTGAGGTAAAGACAAGAATATGTGTACATTTTATTTAAGTGCAAATGATAAAGCTAAGAATTTACATCATTTGCAGCAAGATTAAGATAGTTATGTCAAGCAAGAATGACCAATGATTATGCTGAAGTGCTTTGTTCATATAGTGCAGTGATGGCAAACCTTTTTCTTATGGCGTGCCAAAATTATGCGTGTGCATGCTATCACACGCACATGTCCACACCAATTCAGTCTCCCCACCCACCTGTGCATGCATGCGTGATACCGCCCCCCCCCGTGCGTGAAGGTGTGCACGACCCCTTCCAAGGCCCTGGAGACTTTCCTGAAGCCTGGGGAGAGTGAAAACTGCTTCCCCCCCGGCCCTCTGGAAGCCAGAAACAGATAATTTCTGAACTTCTGGTTGGCCCGTTGGGGCTATTTTTCGCCCTTTGCAGGCTTCAGGAAAGCCTCTGGACGCTGGGGAGAGCAAAAAATGGTCCCAACTGTCCAACTGGAAGTTCAGAAATGATGCATTCCTGGCTTCCAGAGGGCCTGAGGGGGGCGGGGTGGGGAAGGCCATTTTTGCCCTCCCCAGGCTTCAGGAAAGCCTCCAGAGGCTGGGGAGGGCAAAAAACAGGCCAAATGGGCCAACCAGACATTCGTTCCCAAACTTGTGGTTGGTCCATTGGGCCTGTTTTTCACCCTCCCCAGCCTCTGGAGGCTTTTCTGAAGCCTGGGGAGGGCAAAAATGGCCTCCGGAAGGCCGCAAATCATCTGGCTGGTGCATGCATGTGCGCCCAAGCTGACAGCTGTCGTGCCAGCAAATATGGCTCCATGTGCCACCTGTGGCACGTGTGCCATAGGTTCGCCATCACCTATATAATTAATGTGAATTAAGATAGAATTGCAAAACAAAAATATGGAGTATATATAGGCTAAAACAAGAAGGAAAACTAAGAAAATCTCAAATAAATGGAGTTTATAAGATAATGAAAAAGAGATTGATAAGTAGTTTAAAGATCAAAATGCAGGGTATTAGTGAATGTCATGGACGCACAGATGACATAGTTTGTATAAGATAAGATCTATTTATTTATTTTCTTGTGTATTCTGCCTTTAATTTTTTGCTTATACTTACACTATTATACACAACACAGCATAGGCTTGTTATATATGTATGTATGTATAGGATCCAGGAGACATTTGATGGCATACTTCAAAATGTAGCTATCTCCAATAGCTGATATACTAAAACTGCATGATGATGATGATGATATGCAATAGCTTAGAGGACTAACCATACTATTAGAATATAGAATAAGACAGAGTAGCCTCCTATTACATGGAAATTTACTCCCCGGTTTCCTGAAAAATCAATGCTGTTTGGATAATGAAAATATCTATTGTGACACAGATATTAACAAAAAACATGAAAATAGATTACCATATAAAATTGGTGAATAAAGCAGATTTTAAGATTGAGAAGAAATTAAAATATCTAGGTATCACAAATATGAACTATATATTGTTTTATAATAACTATGTTAAAACATGGAATAAAATTAAAAAGCTAAGTTAGGATGCGAAGAACTATAACTCTCATTGCTGTGGAGAATTTGTGTGATAAAAATATCTTGCCTAGAATGTTTTTGTTTCAGATAATACCCATTTTGATAACTAATGCACCATTTCAACTATGGCAAAAGGATACACTGACATTGCGTGGCAAAGGGAAAAACCCAACAAATTAAATCTAAGGTATCACAAGACACAAAAGGCTTTACCTGATTTGAAATTGTATTTTACAGTTTGCTATTTGGTTTGGATGAAAGAGTAGTGTTAATGAGAAATAGAAGGCTTTTGGAGTTAGAAGCATATGACTTGAGATTTGGGTAGTGTGGATATTGTAAGATAAAGTCAAGGTTATTGTGGATTTTAATCATTACGTTAGACATGTCATATTGAAAATATGGAAGAGTTAGAAATCTCAGTTGTGCCCCAAAATATCTTTGTGGCTCTCAGTCACATTTTAAAAACAAGAAATAATAAGAAAATTCACAGGCTAACTTCTCATGAGATATTAGATTTTTGTCAAGGGAAATAGAAAATGTCAACAGAAGAATTGATGGCAGAGTAAATAAGTTTTCTTATTTACTGTTATTAGAAACATTTAAAGTAGACAAAAGAGCTAAAGGTTTTGAACATTCTAAGATTGAGTCTGAAATGGAATTTTGTACAAATGAACATTTAATGTTACAAAATGTGTAAACTTCTATTGAAATTTGAAACAGAAGAATGAAATAATGCATGATAAACTGGGCTAAAATTTTGGTTATAATACAGATAGCCCTCAACTTACAACTACAATTGACCCCAAAATTTCTGTTGCTGAGACATTTATTAAGTCAGTTTTGCCCCATTTTACGACCTTTCTTGCCATAGTTAAGTGAATCACCGCACTTGTTAAATTAGTAACATAGTAACATGGTTATTAAATGAATCTGGATTCCCTATTGCCTTTGCTTTTCAGAAGGTTGCAAAAGGAGATCATATGACAACAGGACATGGCAACCATCATAAATGAGTCAATTGTCAAGCACCTGAATTTTGATCACATGACCATGGGGATACTATTATGGTTGTAAGTGTGAAAAAGTCATGTCACTTTTTTCAGTGATTCCTGGGGGCTGGGGAGGGCAGAAATGAGTGAAAAACTGAGCGTTTTTTGCTCAATTTTGCCCTCCCCAGCCCCCAGGGATACTATTATGGTTGTAAGTGTGAAAAAGTCATGTCACTTTTTTCAGTGATTCCTGGGGGCTGGGGAGGGGAGAAATGAGTGAAAAACTGAGCGTTTTTTGCTCAATTTTGCCCCCCCCAGCCCCCAGGAGCATTCTATAAGCCTCCTAAAGGTTATTCATGCCCTTCTTTTTGGAAAAAAAATAGGCTGTTTTTGGGAGGTCTGCAGAGTGAAAAAACTTTTTTTTAAATTTGCATATTCAAAACCTTGGTGCGTCTTATACTCTGGTGCGTCTTATACCCCGAAAAATGCGGTCTGTTGTAACTTTAGAAAAGAGGTAAAATTGTAATTGCACTTATAACTGCTGTAAAAAAGGTCAGAACAAATTCGTGTATCATTTGTATCATCAAAATATTGTATCATTTTTTCTTTTCTATTTTTGCTTTCATTTCTTGCATTTTTAGCTTTCTTTTTGTTGTTTCTTTCTTACTTTACATTAATTTGTATTTGTTTTTACCTTTTTAAAAATACTGTGCATCTGTGTGTATATGAAAGAATTTACTATGTAACTCACACCCAATTCTCAATACTCAGGACTTTCTTACGATGAATTCTGGCAAGGTAACAAAATATAAGTTTTTTAATAAAGCATGTTTCTGCATAAAAATAAGAGTGAAAGGACACATGATGTTATAGATTAGCGTTCATATGCTATCTTGACCCTACATTGCATCTAGAGAACAAACACTCTAAAAAGTTCACAATTCCCAAATAGTTTATAAGTTTAGCTTTCAATTTGATAGATTTTGTTCTGTATTTTCCAATATTAATACAGTAATAGTAGCAAGAGCAATCCTTCACAAATGGATATAATCCTATTTTATTAAAATCAATTTATGTTTCATCATTATTATGGGAAGTGAATTTATGTTGCAATTTTATGCTGGTATGTTATTATTGATACAAACATTTAGCACCAATTGTCAAATCCCTATTTTGTGCCTGAATATTTATCAAAATAAATAAGAGAACTGATAGTTTAGTATATAATAAACTATAAAAACAAAAACAACAGAGGGAAGAAGACCTCCATGCAGATGTCTGAGTACAAAGGGAGACTAAAAGAATCTTGAATGAATTCAGTGATTTAGATCCTGGGATCAGTTCTCAAAAGTAATGAAAACCAAAAACACAATGCAGCTTGCTCCAATGGCTTTTTCAACATACTGTAGTGTTGCAGAGCAATGTAAATCATATAATGACTATATGAGATGCTATAAATTATATAGACACATTGATCAAATTATTAGGAACCCGATCAAGATATATAATCAAGGGCAAATAACAATAACCCCTTTCTTTAAAATATATGTAACATCCAGCTTGCAATGTGTACAAAGTTGAGAATATGTCACTGGAACAGAGACAGATAATCTTTCTGCCAATAAATATACACTTCTAAGTGCAAAATGACCAACTTGCTATTCTTTGACTAGTTTTGTTACTAATCAGCATTTCCTTTGATAATCTAATTACTGCTAACTTGGAAATGCATACAATGCAATGTTACAGAATATACAGTGCATTCAGAAAGTATTCACACACCCTTCACTTGTGTCAATTTTGTTGTGCTGAAGCTTCATTCTACAGTTATTGAAATTCATTTTTTTTCTCATTAATGTACATTCAGTACTCCATAATGATAAAGTGAAAGCAGAAGTTAAGAAATGTCTGTAAATGTATTAAAAAAAAAACCTGAAATATCACATTGGCGTAAGCATTCAGACCTTTTGCAACAATACTTGAAATTTAGGTCTAGTGCTTCTCATTTCTCTTGATCGTTGCTGACATGTTTCTACACCTTGGAGTTGACCTGTGGTAAATTAAATGCATACTGCAGCAGAGCAAAGTCACAAGGTCAAAGAAATTGCCTACACAGCTCAGAGTTAGGATTATTGCAAGGCACAGATCTGTATTGTTGCAAAGGGTCTGAATACTTACACCAATGTGATATTTCAGTTTTTCTTTTTAATAAAAAGAAAACCCAATCAAAATGTATAAATCTATTGCCCTTTTAAAATATTTTGTTTCTTTAGAATGGTAATCATTGAGAACCTTACATCGTTCTCAAGAAATTTACATTAGTAAATAATACTTCTGTATTGCAATGTTGAAGATAACACTTTTCAAAAACATACTGGAATTTAATAACAAAAGCAAAGAATCCATATTAAATAATAAAAATGTAAAACAATCAGTCCAAGATACAGTAATACCAGTGATACATGGAAATTTGAGTCACAAAGATATTAAAAACTGGGATTGATAATGCACAATCTCCTGTTATGATGGGGAACAGATGTTATCCTTGCTAAGACATTGGTTAGAGAAATCAGAATATAGCAATAACCCTGAGATGAATTTATGGTAAAATTTGCTTAAGGCTCCATATCTAAGATTTAGGACTGTTCCACACATTGTCAAGGTTGTACTTTTTCCAACCAGAGCATATAGCTCAGCGAGTCATGGCCAATTGGAAAATCCATTTAATCTAAACCATATATTTATTTTATTACAATGTGTTTTGGGAATATATACTTTTCAGCATGTATAATACAAGCAAGTGCTAAAATGTGAATATATGAATGTATGAAGCAACCCTTATTTGCAGAGTGAGTGTGCAATTAAAGCATGAATGTCAAATATCACAAAGATGAGAGAACTTTTTTCTAATTATCTACAAAAAATTGTTTTTCTTAAGTAATTGTAGAATCCTGTGATGAAATGAATGACTCAAGGCATTTAATCGTTGAACACGTAAAATGAAGTATATTTAAAATAAAACTTTAAAAAATGGTTATATAGAATCTGAAAAGAATTTACAGGGCTGCAGCAGCTGAGTTTTTTGGAACTGTTAATTTATCGCAAAGCCTAAACTGGGTTTCTTTCATTGCACAGTATTTTCTCTTAAAATATGTGCATTTTCAAAACAATTACATACATATTAAAAATCAGCATATTTGCTTAAACATAATTAAAACGGTAATACTCTCAGACAACACAGATCTGAAATGGCAAAACCAGTAATTTTCCCCCCTCCCATCTTTACAACAAATTAATTTGAGACAAAATTACAAACACATTTCACTACATGATTAATAATAAAAATTAAGAGTTTTGTTTATAAATTTGCCCAAAATGCAAGGGATGTGCATAGGTTTTACAACTTAGTCATAGTATTTTATTTTATTCCCTTGGGTATCTTCCCCCCATGAACGGAATGTACTTGGTTGTAGACTACAGTTTTTTCAACACAGATACACCAACGGCATGAACGCTTGCAACTGTCCACATGCATTAAGAGTCAAGACCCAACTTCAAATCTCTATTCAGTTTTACAGAGTTCTTCAAAGAGACAGTATCACATTATCTGCCTATTAAACCAAAATACTTCAAAACGCTACTCTAAAAATGATTTTAAAAAGCAGAAGGCCATTAGAATATAAGTATTGATCTGGTCATGATTGGGCTAATAATTTCAAATAAATAAAGGAAAGCAACTCAATCCAATTCATAAAATCAGACTCTAAAAGATGCAATGTTCCACCCCCAATTAAAGTAAAGATCACATTATTATTAAAATAGATTATAGAAAGCAGCATCTATTTTGTGCAGTTTTAGGGGGCTTTGAAATTAAAAGCTATGAGTTCCAAAAATATAACATTCCAAAAGATTGAATACATATATTTAAAGATACATTGTAATAAAATTTAGAACTGATTAAAAAAGATACTGTCTCTTTAAATTATCATATTTTTTTGCCTAGCTATAAAGACATGACAATAATTATAAATGTAGGTCACACTACATCTAGGTAGTCTCTAGGGGCCAAGACCTGTTGACATAGGTCAATAACAAAGAGGTTTTTCCAAGTATGAGGTGGCTTCCAATAATGATCACATTCTTCTGGTAATTGGATTAATATATCCAGGAAACAGGAACCCATTGCGACGCTTTACAAACAAGCTCAATAGCTTCTTCCAGATGCCTGATTGTTTCATCAATTTCATTGTTGATAATTGTAAGGTCAAAGTAGTGTGCATATGTTCTCTGTAAGATTTCTGATTCCTTTTGCAAGCGTTGAAGAGATTCATCCTGCAGAGTGATTAGGAAAAATGGAAGAGGAACAACTTCGTTATCTTGTAGTTATTACATACAAGGAAGCATATTTCCAAATGCATTTCTTATATAGGGATTCATTCATTTTGAATCTTTTTGTAAGAAATGCATTTGGAATTTTGCTTTACTTTAATAAAATTGAGTTGAACTTATTAAAGTTCAATTATATAAATTTATTTTCTTCATATAACTCAGCATTTGTTTAAATGGGAGAGATGAATGTGAGAAAAAATAATAGGATAAGCAAGGAACAAGACAGGAATGGTACCTTATTAATGAATCGCGAGAGATTTATTTATTTATTTATTTATTTATTTATTTATTTATTTATTTATTTATTTATTTATTATTTATTTATTATAATTGTCCATTTCAAATCAATGACTCTGGATGGTGAACCATAAATAATGAAAATCGTTAAATCAGAATATGAAAAAGAAATTAAATACAAATAGTAGCCAAGAGATATTATAATCTGTCATTGTAAACATCATTCAACATAAAACTTTGGTTTGTGACCAAATAACCTACTTAATAACAATCTGATTAATATATACAGAAGTGGCCAAAAGTATTGGTAATCTTCCACTTTTTCCTCACAAAATTTGGATTTGCTATGAAATAAATTGAAACTGATACATGTAAATTGCATTCAGTATTTTTATTCCATAATTTTTATGAAATGCTTTGCTTTTGATGTATGATATTGTTGCAAATAATAAAAGAACTAATAAAATAATAAAATGAACTATTCAGATTAGCTGGAAGAATATTTGGTGTCTTCTAGTCTAATCTCCTGCCCAAGGCAGAGTCTTCATACCATCTCAAACAAATAGTTGTCCAATCTTTCCTTGAAAAACTCCATTTACAACTCCATGTTAAAGGTGTAAGAGCACCCACAATTCCAAGAGGTAACCAACTCCATTGCTTAATAGTTCTTATTGTCAGAAAATTCCTCCTTATCTTTATCTCTCCCGATGGGCTTTCACCCACTGCTTCTTGTCCTAACCTCAGGTTCTTCATAGAATTTAGCCTCCACACACCTTATCATCTTTGTTGCTCTTCTCTGTACTCTTTCTAGGGCTTCAGCATTAAAAAAAACCAAAAAAAAAACCTGTAGTGGCCAGAACTGGATGCAATATTTCTAATATGGCCTCACCCATGCAGTATACAGTGGTACTATCACTTCTGGTAATCTTGATGCTATCTCTCTGTTGATGCAACCTAAGACTGTATTTGCTTTTTTGGCAGTTGCAGCAGACTGCTGGCTCATACGTAAGTAGTGGTCCGTATTATTATATAACTGTTCTCATGTATGTCATGAAACAATAATATTTATTGAGCTATGCCAGAACTAATTACTTTATTTTATGCAAAATATGATTTATAGGTAGTTCTTGGATTACAACCACTAGTTCAGCATCATTCAAAGTTGTGATGGTGCTGAACGAGGGAGACTTACAACCAGTTTCAAAACTATGGCTATCACAGCACCTACAGTCATGATCTGAGTACTTGAGCCTGGATTGTAATTATAGCATTGCAGCAAGCCACTGTCATGTGATTGCAACTTCTGAAATTCCTGCTGACTTCCCACAAGCAAAATCAATAGGGGAGCTGGCAGGAAGTCAGGGGTTGCTCCTGCTACTTTTTGGCCTGCACTCCAAATTACCTGCCCACAGCACCTCCCTGTGGTACCCATGCAACCAAGACTACTGCAACAGAAGTTGTGGGAGCTTCATCACTGGAAGCGTTCAAGGAGAGACTGCACTGCCATCTGTCAGAAATGGTGTAGGGTCTCCTGCTTGAGTGGGGGCTTGGACTAGATGACCTACAAGGTTCCTTTCAATTCTGTTAATATAATAATAATAATAATAATAATAATAATAATAATAATAATAATAATAAATCGAAATTC